GTCCCGAAACTGATGTTTCAACGAAGAGGCAAGAACATTGAACCGAACTAACGAGTACGAATAAGAATAGGAAGACGTGGGAGAGGAGGGAATGAGGAGGAAGAGGAGGTAGACAAGAACGAGGAGGAGGAGGAAATGGAGGAGGGCGGGAGAAAGAGGGAGGAGAGAGGAGAGAGGAGGAATCGTGTTGAGGGAGGCTGATGCAACGCAAGCATGGGCGGCAGGCCGAGCTCTGTTGGATAAAGAAGCCGGCGGGCCGGTGCCCCTGACCCAGGCGCGAAAAAGGAGGAAAGGACGACGCAGCAGTCATATGTCATCATGGCATAACCGCTTGCACAGAGACCTGCGACGAGCGCAGAGCACGAGACAGGCCCCGTGCGTCGCCCAACGACGTTTACAGAGCGAGGGGGGCTCGAGGGCCCCGGCAGAGCGTGCGCCAACCCGCGCGGAGTGGGGGTAGGGAAGCAGGGGCGAACGCAGCAGGCCAGGGTGGCGCACCCACTGGCGCAGAGTACGAGCAGGGGCAGCCGAAGAAAGCGAAGAGCGGCTCGAGCGCGGCGACCGCAGCGGCCACTGGCAACCAGGCAGGCCAGCGGGCGAGCGCCCCCGTCCCCAGGCGTGAAGCGAGAGGCAGGGACGGCGCAGCAGATAGATTGGCTACCTACCAGACCACCCCAACCCAACCCGAAGACCCGAATTTCGGGTTTGGGGGGGGTACGAGTTCCATGTGTGTTTTCTCGATGTTCCCCGACCCCCCCCCGAACTGGAAATGGAGGGCAAATCGAGACCTTCGGGTTGGGTTGGGGTGGTTTGGTGGGTGGTGGTAGATCGTATCCGAACCACCTGCAGGAAGCCAAGAACGAGCCCGAGCGCACGGAAAAAGGGGGCCCGTGCCGCCAGCGGCCTCGTGAAGGCGAGGGAGGCCCGGAGGGCCCGCCGGTGCGTGCGCCAACCCGGCCCAGGGGGAAGGGAGAGAAGCAGGGGCGATCAGGGGAAAAGATCGGCGCGGAGGGCACTGGCGGAACCACCAAAGCATGGAGCCAGGAGCCCATGGCTCGAGCTCCCGAAGCCGAAGCGGCAGCTGCCAAACTGGGGCAAGCGCGCTCGACCGAGAGCACAGCGAAGCCGTTTGCTTGCCTATGTGGTGTGGCGAGAGGGCTCGGAGGCCCGATCGGGCGTGCGCCAACCCGGGCCACGAGGGGGGGAAGGAGCGCAGGCAAGAGCGGGTGCGAACAGCCGCGCGCCTGCTGCAAGACAGATAGCTCGAGCACAGGCCAGGAGGGTGTGCGAGGCCAGGAGGGACGCGCTGGGCCGATGGCAGAACACGGCCAGTTCCACTCTCCCGCCCTCGCACCGCTGGCGACGAGGCCCTGCAGACCATAGAAGGGGGAGTGCCCGGGAGGGCATAGCCAAGAGAGGCCACGCGGCAGGAAAGGAGAGCGACTGGGGGCGACCCACTGCAAGCGAACAGAACCTGCGCGAAAGACGCAAGCGTACAGTAAAAGACCTGAGCGGAGCAAATGCTGAGCATGAACTGCAAGAAGCAAGTGCACAGTCGAATACTCACGGTGGCCCTGCCTGATTGAATGGAGGCTCTGGCAAATACAGACAGGGAGCCTCAGCCGTCAAAGCAACAAATTCAGAGGTGGAGGGAGGAGGGAGGAGGGAGGAAAGGGGAGGGAGGAGGGGAGAGAGAGGGGAGGGAGGAAGAAGGAGTAAGGGGGGGGGGGAAGTCGGAGGAGGAGCATCCACCGACATCCCCTTGTGTGTGAGATGATTGGCTGTCCCCGTCCACTTCCCCCCCCCCCAACGGCTCCAACCAAAATCCACTTTGAAGTAGGGGAGGGTGGGCGACGAGCTCCCCGGCGCACCTCCCTGTCCCCCAGGGCCTCCAGATCCACCATCCGGCGCCTCCAAGATGCCCACAATACACTCCAAGACTGCTCAAGCATGCCAGAGAGAACTCAAGACCCCAAGAGAACCTAAGCGAACCTAAGAATGCCTGAAGAGGTCTCATGGGAGAGCCCAGACACCCAAAACATCGAACTCACTAATAGTTGCAACTCCTGGCCACACATTGTAAAGAAATCTGAGTCGAGAGCCCAGGTTGGAACGGGGCTGCGGTCCACCCGTGTAACTGCTGGAGACTGTTCAGACAAACGTGCGCGGCGTTACGGCGAGAACCATGATCGCCCGCTCAATCGGTGCAACGTTTGATCTTTACGACAGATGTGCGCGATGAACAAGCGAAAGCCACACTTCGACAACGGTCCTCCTCCATCCGTGTAGCTATTGGAAACTGCTGAGACCGATGTGCGCGGCGGTAAGGCGAACGCCACACTGTGACAACGGCCGGCCCTACAGACGTGCAACCGTTGAAATTCCAAGCTGTACGATCATGATCAGGAGAAACGCCTGGCCCGCCTTACCGACACGTCGAGAAGTTCAGGACTAGGAGGAAGGGGAGGGCGAGGAGAAGAACGAGGCGGAAGAGGCGATCAGCATACGCCTGATCAGGGTGCCTCATGGGCAACCTCCCCCATTACGAAGCCTGGGTGGGCCATCGTTCCTCCTCCATCCTCCCCCCTCCTCCACATCCAACGAATCCTCCTCTCACATCCTTGTCCTCCTCCCCGTCTGCCAACGACCCTCCTCCAGCCCGTCGTCCTCATCACACCCGTCTTCCTCCCACTCCCCCTCCTCCTGTTCCTCCTCCTCCTCCGTCTCCTCCTCCTCCTCCTTTGCCGCCTGTTCCTCCTCCTCTTCCTCCTCCTCCTCCTCCTCCTCCTCCTCCTCCTCCTCCTCCTCCTCCTCCTCCTCCTCACCCTCCAACCATTCCTCCTGCTCGTCCTCCTCCTCCTCCTCCTTCTCCGTCCTCCGTACGACTACTACGACTACGACGAGTACAAGTACTAGTACTAGTACTAG